CCATGGTTTTAGAATGGGCTGTCCAACAAGCTCACATGGGTGGGATGGTTAGGTGACCACAAACACCATATATGGAGCTTGGATTTTGGTCAAAGTTTATCCGTTAGCAGATTACAATACTGTATATCACATTTTGAGTTTTTATTCCCTTATTTGTATGCTTCAGTTTTCCTACATTGAATAAATAAGTAACTGTGATACTCAACTCCAGAGAAGTGTGGGGGACATATACAGTAATTGATGAATATGATTAAGCCTCGCTTGGGATGAACGCATCATAGAGAAGGAGCAGGGTCTGGTGGAGGACAATGGGCTTGGTTTTCATATTGTGAGCTCATCCAAGTGCCATGATAAAAAGAGAAAAAAAAAAAAAACATGGGAAATGTGCAACATTCTATTTGCATTTGGAAAGTACGGGTGAAAAAGATAGACACTTGTACAGGCAGCACTCATGGTTGGTGAAGGTGAACAAGAAGACCACCATGGAACAGTAACATGTATTCATATAAAATTTGAAATGGATGGATTGAAAGGAAGGACACCATTACATCAGCACTCATGGACGGTTGATGTGAGCCAGAATACCACCTGGAGTGGTGTCTTGTATTCGTATAGAATTTGGAAAGGATGGACACCGTTAAGTCAGCACCCATAGTCAGTAAATATGAGCCAGAAGGCCAACTGGAGCATTATCCTGAATTCATGTAGAATTTGGAAAGAATGGATGGAAAGGATGGACACCATTAAGTCAGCACCCATGGTCAGTGAAAGTAAGCCAGAAGACCACCTGGAGCAGTATCTTGTATTCATGTAGAATTTGGAAAGGGTGGATGAAAAGGATGGACACCATTACATCAGCATCCATGGTCGGTGAATGTAAGCTAGAAGACCACCTGGAGTGGTATCTTGTATTCATATAGAATTGGGACCAAAGGATGAACCTGATGATGTGAGCACCCATGGTCAGTGAATGTAAGCTAGAAGATGACCTGGAGTGGTATCTTGTATTCATGTAGAATTTGGAAAGGATGGTTGGAAAGGATGGACATGATGATGTCAGCACCCATGGTCATGAATGTAATCCAGAAGACCACTTGGAGCGATATCTTGTATTCATATAAAATGTGGAAAGGATGGTTCAAAAGGATGGACATCATGATATCAGCACCCATGGTTGGTGAATGTAAGCTAGAAGACCACCTGGAGCGGTATCTTGTATTCATGTAGAATTTGGAAAGGGTGGGTGAAAAGGATGGACGCCATTACATCGGCATCTGTGGCCGGTGAATGTAAGCTAGAAGACCACCTGGAGTGGTATCTTGTATTCATATAGAATTTGGAAATGATGGCTGGAAAGGATGGACACCATGATGTCAGCACCCATAGTCGGTGAATGTAAGCTAGAAGTCCACCTGGAGCAGTATCTTGGATTCATACAGAATTTGGAAAGGATGGATGGAAAGGTTAGACATCATTACGTCAGCACCCATAATTGGAGAAGGGGAACCAGAAAACCACTTGGAGCAATACCTTGTATTCATATAGAATTTGGAAAGAATAGTTTGAAAGGATGGACACCATGATGTCAGCACCCATGGTCAGTGAATGTGAGCCAGAAGACCACCTGGAGCGGTATCTTGTATTCATACAAAATTTGGAAAGGATGGTTTGAAAGGATGGACACCATTAAGTCAGCACCCATAATTGGAGAAGGGGAACCAGAAGACCACCTGGAGAAGTATCTTGCATTCATATAGAATTTGGAAATGATGACTGGAAAGGATGAACACCATGATGTCAGCACCCTTGGTTGGTGAATCTAAGCCAGAAGACCACCTGGAGTGGTATCTTGTAATCAAACAGAATTTGGAAAGGATGGCTGGAAACGTTGGACACCATGATGTCAACACCCATGGTCGGTGAATCTAAGCCAGAAGACCACCTGGAGCAGTATCTTGTATTTATTTAGAATTTGGACGATTATTCTGAGAAATAACTTTCTCTTTAGCATTTCTTTTTAAGTGTTTTCAAATATCAGGCGATCGCATTGTTCTCTTTGCAGAAGGGATTTGCAGCCAGCGACGGTAAGTCTATCCAACAGGCCCACTACAGTGATAGCATACAAAGTATCTTAAAGACATTGTATGAGTTCTCTTATCAATATGTCACCCCATAAATCTGCAGCCTAACCAGAATCACTGGATTTGAACATCTCCCCCTTTCCCCAGACACAAATCCAACACCATCCCTAATCCCCGCTCTGTTTCAGATGCACGCGGCCTTCCAGCTGGGCGGAACGCGGAAAAAAGTGAAACTTATTAATATCCCGCCAGGAGTCAATCAATCACCTCCAGGCTGGCACCCGGAATCAAAGAGAAATCAAAGCCCCCTTTTTCTTTTTTTTTTTTTTCCCAGAGAGGAGGGGATGGAATGACAGCCAAGGAACTTAGCGGGGCCAATCCTCTCCGGACCAGTCCGTTTTTTCGGGGAGATTAAGGCTTGACGTGAGGAAGGAGAAGCCAAGGCTTGGCTTAGAGATGTTTGGAATTCTCTCTTCCTTTGTTTTGTCAGCATTAAAGCAGACAGGTTGAGTGAATGAGAAAAAAAAAAAAGATTGCAATTGATTTAAAGCGAAGGGAAGTACCTGGACGTCGGCTAAATATGTTACAAAGCACTTTGTGGAGCCTGTTTAGCCCCAGATACAATGCGGCTTTCAGAGACCAAATGCAATCAGGGCCAGCGCCGGGTAATAGAAGCTGTCCTGGGAATTTCTAATAGGAGATAAGATAATGCTATCATGGAGGAAAGTAGGCGAGGCGAGGGCCGAGAGAGGATTCCAGGTCTGGGCATGAGAAGGGGACTGGGTGTGCGTAGAGGACAAATCACACACATAAGAGGCATTCTTGTGAAAATCGAACAATTCATGGAGAATGTCAGGAACAAAGTATTCACCATTTTATATACGAGCTCCACCAGATGGACGCCCAAGTCCAGCATCATCTCCTAGGCAGAAAGGTGGGCAATGGACCCTGGATTCCAAGGTCCCCAACGTCCCCCTTTCTACATACGGGAGGCCTCTGTTGGAATGCATGAATAAAATTGTAAGTGTGAGTATTTTATTTCTCATATTCACCATTATAATGGAGTTCTTGCTTTATTTCCACAGATTGGTATTTGTATGATTGGCTCCCTGCCTACCAGCCAATCCTGACACTTCTCACATACATCGAAAAATAAAATGTTGCTAGAAAATTAACCCCCAAACATATACAGTCAGGTCCATAAATATTGGGACATCTACACACTTCTAACATTTTTGGCTCTATACACCACCACAATGGATTTGAAATGAAAACAAACAAGATGTGCTTTAACTGCAGACTGCCAGCTTTAATTTGAGGGTATTTACATCCCAATCAGGTGAACGGTGTAGGAATTACAACAGTTTGCATATGTGCCTCCCATTTGTTAAGGGACCAAAAGTAATGGGACAATTGGCTTCTCAGCTGTTCCATGGCCAGGTGTGTGTTATTCCCTCATTATCCCAATTACAATGAGCAGATAAAAGGTCCAGAGTTCATTTCAAGTGTGCTATTTGCATTTGGAATCTGTTGCTGTCAACTCTCAAGATGAGATCCAAAGAGCTGTCACTATCAGTGAAGCCATCATTAGGCTGAAAAAACAAAACAAACCCATCAGAGAGATAGCAAAAACATTAGGCGTGGCCAAAACAACTGTTTGGAATATTCTTAAAAAGAAGGAACGCACCGGTGAGCTCAGCAACACCAAAAGACCTGGAAGACCACGGAAAACAACTGTGGTGGATGACCGACGAATTCTTTCCCTGGTGAAGAAAACACCCTTCACAACAGTTGGCCAGATCAAGAACACTCTCCAGGAGGTAGGTGTATGTGTGTCAAAGTCACCAATCAAGAGAAGACTTCACCAGAGTGAATACAGAGGGTTCACCACAAGATGGAAACCATTGGTGAGCCTCAAACACAGGAAGGCCAGATTAGAGTTTGCCAAACGACATGTAAAAAAGCATTCACAGTTCTGGAACAACATCCTATGGACAGATGAGACCGAGATCAACTTGTACCAGAGTGATGGGAAGAGAAGAGTATGGAGAAGGAACTGCTCATGATCCTCAGCATACCACCTCATCAGTGATCATGGTGGTGGTAGTGTCATGGCGTGGGCATGTATGGCTGCCAATGGAACTGCTTCTCTTGTATTTATTGATGATGTGACTGCTGACAAAAGCAGCAGGATGAATTGTGAAGTGTTTCGGGAATATTATCGGCTCATATTCAGCCAAATGCTTCACAACTCATTGGACGCTTCACAGTGCAGATGGACAATGACCCAAAGCAGACTGCAAAAGACACCAAAGAAGTGGAATGTTCTGCAATGGCCAATCACCTGACCTGAATCCGATTGAGCATTTCACTTGCTGAAGACAAAACTGAAGGGAAAATGCCCCAAGAACAAGCAGGAACTGAAGACAGTTGCAGTAGAGGCCTGGCAGAGCATCACCAGGGATGACACCCAGCGTCTGGTGATGTCTATGCGTTCCACACTTCAGGCTGTAATTGACTGCAAAGGATTTGCAACCAAGTATTAACCCCTCGCCTACCGGGCACTTCTACCCCCTTATTTACCAGGCCAATTTTCAGCTTTCAGCGCTGCCGCACTTTGATTGACAATTGCGCGGTCATGCAACATTGTACCCATATGAAATTTTGATCATTTTTTTCTCACAAATAGAGCTTTCTTTTGGTGGTATTTAATCGCCACTGGGCGCTTTACTTTTTGTGCTAGAAATAAAAAAAAAATGCCAAAGATTTGAAAAATAAAAAAAAAGTTTCTTTGTTTCTATTATAAAATTTTTCAAACAGGTATTTTTTCTCCTTCACTGATGTGCGTTGATGAGGCAGCACTGATGGGCACTGATAGGCAGCACTAAAGGGCACTGATAGACAGCACTAATGAGGTGGCACGGATAGGCGGCACTGATATGCAGCACTGATAGGCGGCACTGATAGGTGACACTGATGATGGGCACTGATAGACAGCACTAATGAGGTGTCACGAATAGGCGGCACTGAATATGCACTGGCACTAATATGCAGCCTGATAGGCGGCACTGATGATGGGTACTGATAGACGGCACTGACTGGCATCACTGCTGGGCACTGACTGGCGACACTGACTGGCAGCACTGCTGGGCTGCACTGGTGGGTGGCACTGGTGGGCAGCACTGGTGGGTGGGCACAGGTGGGTGGCACTGGTGGGCACAGGTGGGTGGGCACAGGTGGGTGGCACTGGTGGGCACAGGTAGGTGACACTTCTGGGCACAGGTGGGTGATCTGCTGGGCACAGGTGGGCGGAGTTAGTGGGCGCACTGATGGGCACAGGTGGGCGGAACTTGCGGGTGGCACTGCTGGGCACCGATCATCAGGGCACTGATCATCAGTGCCTTGATGATCAGTGCCGATCCCCGCTCTGACAACTGCCGGTTCTCGGCAGTACTTTCCTCACGATCTGACAGCGTGAGGAAAGTGCAGCCGAGAACCGGCACTTGCATTTCCCTGTGATCAGCGTGTCATTGGACACCGCTGATCAGGTGGTAAAAGGCCGCTGTGATTGGCCTTTTACCACATCACGTGATCAGCTGTGTCCGTAGGACACAGCGATCACGGAGATCGCCGGGTGCGCGCCCCCCCCTGGGGAGCGCAGGAGAGCGCGTTCTGGGAGGACGTCATATGACGTCCACCCAGAACTGGCCGGCCGCGGTGAAGCCGTCATTCGGCTATCTGCGGTCGGCTACTAGTTAAAAAGTGAAAGTTTGATTTATGATTATTATTCTGTCCCATTACTTTTGGTCCCTTAACAAGTGGGAGGCACATATGCAAACTGTTGTCATTCCTACACCGTTCACCTGATTTGGATGTAAATACCCTCAAATTAAAGCTGACCGTCTGCAGTTAAAGCACATCTTGTTCGTTTCATTTCAAATCCATTGTGGTGGTGTATAGAGCCGAAAATGTTAGAATTGTGTCCATGTCCCAATATTTATGGACCTGACTGTATATTAGCAGAGGCCCTAACCACATGGAAGAAAAATATATTTAAAATATATTTAAAAAAATATCCTTCCCAAATATATTCACATATATTTGAAATACTACAATTTTGGCCATATTCAATATATTTAAAAATTATATTTGTATAAGTATATATATATATACATTACTTTAAAGCTGAACCTAATAGGAAGAAGTCATGGGCCAAGGACTGTATCAATGGAATGGTTTTATGGAACTGGAATATCTATGAAGCTCGAGGTCCTTTAAAGTTGAACCTAATAATAATTACTAGGCAGAAATAGGTCATGGGCTGAGGACTATATTACAGGTGTCACACTGGCGGCCCTCCAGCTGTTGTGAAACTACAAGCCCCATCATGCCTCTGCCTTTGGAAGTCATGCTTGTAACTGTCAATCTTGCAATGCCTCATGGGACTTGTAGTTTCACAACAGCTGGAGGGCCGCCAGTTTGACACCTGTAATATAGTCCTCAGCCCATGACCTATTTCTGCCTAGTAATTATTATTAGGTTCAACTTTAAAGGACCTCATGCTTCATAGATATTCCAGTTCCATAAAACCATTCCATTGATATAGTCCTCAGCCCATGAATTCTTCCTATTAGGTTCAACTTTAAAGGACCTCATCCTTCTTAGGTGTTGCAGTTCCATAAAACCTTTCCATTGATATAGTCCTCAGCCCATGACTTCGTCCTGCTTAGTAATTGTTATTTGGAGTTCAGCTTTAAAGGACATCGAGCTTCATAGGGGTTCCAGTTCCATAAAACCATTCCATTGATATAGTCCAGGGGTGTCAAACTGGCGGCCCTCCAGCTCTTGCGAAACTACAAGCCCCATCATGCCTCTGCCTGTGGCAGTTATGCTTGTAACTGTGAATCTTGCATTGCCTCTTTGGACTTGTAGGTTGGCAACAGCTGGAGGGCCGCCAGTTTGACACCTGTAATACAGTCCTCAGCCCATGACTTCATCCTACTTAGTAATTATTATTTGGAGTTCAGCTTTAAAGGACATCGAGCTTCATAGATATTCCAGTTCCATAAAACCATTCCATTGATATAGTCCTCAGCCCATGAATTCTTCCTATTAGGTTCAACTTTAAAGGACCTCATCCTTCTTAGGTGTTGCAGTTCCATAAAACCATTCCATTGATATAGTCCTCAGCCCATGACTTCGTCCTACTTAGTAATTATTATTTGGAGTTCAGCTTTAAAGGACATTGAGCTTCATAGGGGTTCCAGGTTATTAAAACCATTCCATTGATATAGTCCTTAGCCCATGACTTCTTCCTATTAGGTTCAGCTTTAAAGGACCTCATGCTTCTTAGGTGTTCCAGTTCCATAAAACCATTCCATTGATACAGTCCTCAGCCCATGGCTTTGTCCTACTTAGTAATTATTATTTGGAGTTCAGCTTTAAAGGACCTCGAGCTTCATAGGGGTTCCAGTTCCATAAAACCATTCCATTGATATAGTCCTCAGCCCTTGACTTCGTCCTGCTTAGTAATTGTTATCTGGAGTTCAGCTTTAAAGGACCTCGAGCTTCATAGGGGTTCCAGTTCCATAGAACCATTCCATTGATACAGTCCTCAGCCCATGGCTTTGTCCTACTTAGTAATTATTATTTGGAGTTCAGCTTTAAAGGACCTCATGCTTCATAGGTGTTCCAGGTCCATAAAACTATTCCATTGATATAGTCCAGGGGTGTCAAACTGGTGGTCCTCCAGCTGTTGCGAAACTACAAGCCCCATCATGCCTCTGCCTTTGGGAGTCATGCTTGTAACTGTCAATCTTGCAATGCCTCATGGGACTTGTAGTTGGACAACAGCTGGAGGGCCACCAGTTTGACACCCCTGCTCTAGATGTAATTGACCATGTAACCCTCGCAACGCAGGGGCAGCTCCACTAGACCGGAGGATTTCTCCCTTTCCTGTCCCATCATGCCTTTGCCTTTGGGAGTCATGCTTGTAACTTCAATCTTGCAATGCCTCATGGGACTTGTAGTTTGGCAACAGCTAAAGGGCCACCAGTTTGACACCTGTAATATAGTCCTCAGCCCATGACTTATTTCTGCTTAGTAATTGTTATTAGGTTCAGCTTTAAAGGACCTCATGCTTCGTAGATGTTCCAGTTCCATAAAACCATTCCATGATACAGTCCTCAGCCCATGACTTCGTCCTACTAAGTAATTATTATTTGGAGTTCAGCTTTAAAGGACATTGAGCTTCATAGGTGTTCCAGTTCCATAAAACCATTCCATTGATATAGTCCAGGGGTGTCAAACTGGTGGCCCTCCAGCTGTTGCGAAACTACAAGCCCCATCATGCCTCTGCCTTTGGGAATCATGCTTGTAACTGTCAATCTTGCAATGCCTCATGGGACTTGTAGTTTGGCAACAGCTAAAGGGCCACCAGTGTGACACCTGTAATATAGTCCTCAGCCCATGACCTATTTCTGCTTAGTAATTATTATTAGGTTCAACTTTAAAGGACCTCATGCTTCATAGATATTCCAGTTCCATAAAACCATTCCATTGATACAGTCCTTAGCCCATGACTTCTTCCTATTAGGTTCAACTTTAAAGGACCTCATCCTTCTTAGGTGTTCCAGTTCCATAAAACCATTCCATTGATACAGTCCTCAGCCCATGACTTCATCCTGCTTAGTAATTGTTATTTGGAGTTCAGCTTTAAAGGACACATCGAGCTTCACAGGGGTTCCAGTTCCATAAAACCATTCCATTGATATAGTCCAGGGGTGTCAAACTGGCGGCCCTCCAGCTCTTGCAAAACTACAAGCCCCATCATGCCTCTGCCTGTGGCAGTTAAGCTTGTAACTGTGAATCTTGCATTGCCTCTTTGGACTTGTAGGTTGGGCAACAGCTGGAGGGCCGCCAGTTTGACACCTGTAATACAGTCCTCAGCCCATGACTTCATCCTACTTAGTAATTATTATTTGGAGTTCAGCTTTAGAGGACATCGAGCTTCATAGATATTCCAGTTCCATAAAACCATTCCATTGATATAGTCCTCAGCCCATGAATTCTTCCTATTAGGTTCAACTTTAAAGGACCTCGTGCTTCTTAGGTGTTGCAGTTCCATAAAACCGTTCCATTGATATAGTCCTCAGCCCTTGACTTCGTCCTACTTAGTAATTATTATTTGGAGTTCAGCTTTAAAGGACATTGAGCTTCATAGGGGTTCCAGGTTATTAAAACCATTCCATTGAAAGGACCTATAGTCCTTATGCCATGACTTCTTCCTATTAGGTTCAGCTTTAAAGGACCTCATGCTTCTTAGGTGTTCCAGTTCCATAAAACCATTCCATTGATACAGTCCTCAGCCCATGGCTTTGTCCTACTTAGTAATTATTATTTGGAGTTCAGCTTTAAAGGACATCAAGCTTCATAGGTGTTCCAGTTCCATAAAACCATTCCATTGATATAGTCCCTCAGCCCATGACTTCGTCCTGCTTAGTAATTGTTATCTGGAGTTCAGCTTTAAAGGACCTCGAGCTTCATAGGGGTTCCAGTTCCATAGAACCATTCCATTGATACAGTCCTTAGCCCATGACTTCGTCCTGCTTAGTAATTATTATTTGAAGTTCAGCTTTAAAGGACCTCGAGCTTCATAGGTGTTCCAGTTCCATAAAACCATTCCATTGATATAGTCCTCAGCCCATGAATTCTTCCTATTAGGTTCAACTTTAAAGGACCTCATCCTTCTTAGGTGTTGCAGTTCCATAAAACCATTCCATTGATATAGTCCTCAGCCCATGAATTCTTCTATTAGGTTCAACTTTAAAGGACCTCATCCTTCTTAGGTGTTGCAGTTCCATAAAACCATTCCATTGATATAGTCCTCAGCCCATGAATTCTTCCTATTAGGTTCAGCTTTAAAGGACCTCATGCTTCTTAGGTGTTCCAGTTCCATAAAACCATTCCATTGATACAGTCCTCAGCCCATGGCTTTGTCCTGCTTAGTAATTATTATTTGGAGTTCAGCTTTAAAGGACATCGAGCTTCATAGGTGTTCCAGTTCCATAAAACCATTCCATTGATATAGTCCTCAGCCCTTGACTCATTGCCACTTAGTAAATATTATTAAATTTTTAGAGTGTAGTTTTAAAGGACCTCGTGCTTCATGGGGGTTCCCGTTCCATAAAACCATTTCATTGATACAGTCCTCAGCCCTTGACTCATTGCCACTTATTATTATTACATAGGTGGACGGTGATTTGAGGCTCGCTCTTGGCTCGTCATTTGGTTCTTGGGGCATCTGTATCTCCCTCGTAAGATTCATGTCATGGTTTTTCCAGGTTTGGGCCCCCCTCCTCTCATGCCCTAGAGTCATTCTGCAGATTTCGGCACAATCTGTGAGTTACATTCATTCTCAGGTCTTGCATGTAAAAACTTTATTAAACAGACCTCGGCTCCGAAGGAGAGGGAAGACTTTTTATTCCCAAACACCTGTTTCCCTTAAACTCTCTCCAATGGAAAAATCCATCTTTCATTTCGGGTTCTCTCAATATATACATATGATATATGCGCATTGTGAGGCAGCGCTCTTGCAGTTGGCTGCCAGCTGTGTAGGCTCTTTTCGCTCGATGGAGAGGGACCCGGATAAGTCAGTCCAGATGGCTCTGGGATTCCTTAAGTCAGTTTGAAAATAAATATGTAACTTTTCTGTACCAGCGCAAAATATTTGTTAACTTTTATTTATCCTGCCTAGTCTATACCACATTCTTGGGACATCAAGATGAAGTACGTTCTCGTAATATACAATGGCCTTTTCTGTCTCACATCTGAATCCAGAAAGCTTAGATCAAACCATGTTTTTGAGCAATGTCATCGCTCTACGCAGTGTAAACAATCAATCTCTTTATTTAGCTTTTTTCCCTTGTAGCTCTACGTCTAACACTGTACAGAGCAATATGGAATCCATAATAAACACCCTCATACCGACACAGCCTGTTATGACGGGGGGGGGGGGGGGAGACTTTCGAAGTAAGGAAGACACGCCATACGGTTAAGAGTTGGTGAACACCTGACCATCGCACCCAAATGAGTTTCTTGGGCATCCCAATCCAAAACCATGGGTATTAATACAAAATTGTCCCCCATTGGGCTTTAGCAGCCTTCACTCTTCAGGAAAGGCTTCCCGTAAGATTTTGGAAGGTGTCTGTTGGAATTTGTGCCCATTTTTGAGTTCAGTTACTGATGTTGAGTGAGAAGATCTGGCTCACCATCAGCATTTCAATTCATCCCAAAGGTGTTAGGTACAGATGAGGCCATGGCTTTTTGTAGGACACTTGACTTCCTCCACTCATCACACCTAAATGAGTTTGTTGGGCATCCCAATCCAAAACCATGGGTATTAATACAAAATTGTCCCCCATTGGGCTGTAGCAGCCTTCACTCTTCTGGAAATGCTTCCCGTAAGATTTTGGAAGGCGTCTGTGGGAATTTGTGCCCATTTTTGAGTTCAGTTACTGATGTTGAGTGAGAAGATCTGGTTCAGCAAAGACATTTCAATTCATCCCAAAGGTGTTAGGTACGGATGGCTTTGTGTAGGACACTTGACTTCCTCCACTCATCACACCTAAATGAGTTTGTTGGGCATCCCAATCCAAAACCATGGGTATTAATACAAAATTGTCCCCCATTGGGCTGTAGCAGCCTTCACTCTTCTGGAAAGGCTTCCCGTAAGATTTTGGAAGGTGTCTGTGGGAATTTGTGCCCATTTTTGAGTTCAGTTACTGATGTTGAGTGAGAAGATCTGGCTCACCATCAGCATTTCAATTCATCCCAAAGGTGTTAGGTACAGATGAGGCCATGGCTTTTTGTAGGACACTTGACTTCCTCCACTCATCACACCTAAATGAGTTTGTTGGGCATCATATTCCAAAACCATGGGTATTAATAAGAAATGTCCCCCATTGTGCTATAGCAGCCCCCGCTCTTCTTAGAAGGAAACTGTGACAATACATGGGCAATGATCAGGCAGTGGCGGCAGCTAATGGGCAATCAAATGCACAGGCAACAATCGAGTAATCTTAACAATGATCAGGCAGTGGTGGCAGCACTCTAGCAACTAACGGCAATCTTGACTGTAAAGGGGCAATGAAAATGCGCAGGCAGCAATCGAGCAATCTTGACAATGCAGGAGCAAGTAATGGGCAGTTATGACAATGCATAGGCAACAAATGGGCAATACATGTGTGAACCAATAAATAGCCAATGAGGACAAGTTATGGGCAATGGTGGCAACAAATAGGAAATGCTGACCATACATGAGCAACAAGCGGGCAATTGTTACAGTACATAGGCAATGGTCAGGCAGTGGTGGCAGCACTCTGGCAACTAACGGGCAATCTTGACTGTAAAGGGGCAATAATGAAAATGTGCTGGCAACAATCGAGCAATCTTGACAATGCAGGAGCAAGTAATGGGCAGTTATGACAATGCATAGGCAACAAATGGGCAATAAATGGACAATGGAAGCAACGAAAGGGCAACTGTGAAGCAATAAACAGCCAACCATGACAATGCATGGGCAATGGTGGCAACAAGCAAGAAATGCTGGTCCTACATGAGCAACAAAAAGGCAACTGTGAAAAAAAAATAGACAATGATCAGGCAGTAGTGGCAACAAACTGGCAACTAACAGGCGGTCTTGACAATACGCAGGCAACAATTGAGCAATCTTGACAACCTATGGGAAGGTAATAGGCAGTTATGACAATGCACAGGCAATGAATGGGCAACAGATGGGCAATTGCGAAACGATAAATAGCCAACCACAACAACGTACGGGCAATAGTGGAAACAAACGGGAAATGCTGACCACACATGAGCAA